ACATTCTTACCACAATGGCATCGACAGCCTCCATCAAAGCAGATATTCATTATCTATGCAACAAATCAAACCAATATCGATGGAATCGAGTGCTACCACGATCAAAATGGCGCTTTGAGTACTCCGACCGAAATTGTTGGTACTTCGATTAACTCCAAAACACAGAGTGTAGATATGAACTTTCCACATTTCAATTCATCAATGAATAACAATCAGTTGGGGAGAGAGAATTTGATTCATGAATCAGCAATTACTTCAATGAACTATATTTCAAGTGAACTTCGAGATTTAAAAAATCTATTCTTTGTATTGATCGTTATATGCTGCGGATATTTAATGGTGAAGCTTGTCAATCGTATCAAGTCGAGGTTCGCACAAAATTTAAAAGAAAATAGCGTGCAGTATCGACATCAGTTGGAGCACGATCAACATGAATTCAATCTTGAGATTAATTAAATTTATCATTTTGAAACAATTGTTGCCGATTTGAATTTGAATACATTTGAATAAAAATTGTAAAATTATCGTCATAAATGTGGAAGTTTTGCTAAAAAATTGTCTCAAATTAAGTTTACGTTTTCGCATGGTAGCTCCTTAAAAATAGATGGATAATTTTCATTTTTGATATTGAAAAAAATGAACGATTCAATTTTATTTAAAATTTGTTTGCAAGGAGCCATTGACTGTGGCCAACTTCACTTCAAGCAATGACAGCACGGAAACATCAAAGCACACATCATTTTTCTACAAACAGTGGAAGGACGTTGTCATACATAAGCGATTATTACAAGGCGAACCACGTTTTACAACGAATTTTCAAAAAATTACACTCGATTTTTAGGCAAATTTGATTGAATGGTGAGTGTTAAGAAACAATTCCATTGCTTTTAATCGTGTAGAATCCATGAAACAGTTAATAAATATAAATAATTTGAAACTCAACGTAGAAGATAGATTTATCGAAATTGTTACCAAACCTAACTGTTATTTCCAAACCTAACATTTATCATGCGCGTAGTTATTCGTTCTAATGAAATCCTTTGTCATTAATTCAGCAACCGCTGACAATTGAATTCCCATGAACATCCACCAAAATAGTGTCATCATGTCCAATTTCAAGCCAATTGCGCCAAAATACGACAGCAAATTATTCGCAACGATTGGAGAGGAGTTATATTTAAGTCGTGATTTGGCCGACGTGTACTTCGTATTTGAGTCGAACAATGAACCACGCGAACGAGTGCCGGCACATAAGCTTCTTCTAAAAAAGGGCTGCGCTGCATTCCGGGAAATGTTGAACGGGCCGTGGAAAGAGAAAAACGAAGTTAAAATTGTCGATACACCAGTTGCCGCCTTCAAGGAATTTCTGCAGTTTTTCTACAAGGGCGACGTGGTTTTGACAGCACAAAATGTGGCTGCAGTCATGAATCTTGGCAAACAATACGTTGTCGACGAATGTGTGGCCATGTGTGTTAAATTCCTGAAGAATACACTCGATGAATCGAACGTTTGCACCAGATACGGATAGGCGATTCTCTACGAAAAAGACGAACTTAAAAAGTCATGTGAAACAATCATCGGCCTTAAGGCAAGTGCTGTGTTCAAATCCAATGAGTTTTTGTCATGCGATCGAAATATTTTGGCTGCCATTTTACGATTGGACTGGCTATCATGTTCCGAGGTGGAACTGTTCGAAGCATGCATGGCTTGGGTGAAAGCGATATCCAAACGAGAGATTTTAAGCAAGAAGGCGGTGACCGATCATTTTGGCAATTTGTTGTATGAAATTCGATTTGGTTCGATGACATTCGATGAATTTGTCGCATTAGTTTCATCGTATGGCACAGCATTTTCGGTTAAGGAGTACCAAGATGTCATCCAAATGATTGGCGATGAAGAATTCCAGGCGACAATTTTCAATGGAAAACGGGAAAAACGACATCATGCGTACCCACGGTATAAAATGCTTTCGTGCAGTCGGTTAGTCGGTGACAGTCGATTACTATCGTCGAGCTTTACACTTGAACCATATTTTCTTCGTGAACAAGAAACAACGAAATTCTCAGCAAATCAACCTCTTTTCCTCAGATCAATTATTCTTGACAGTGTTTACCGATTCCATGACGGAAAATATATTAAGATGACGGAAGTTGTACCAACCGAAGTGAAAATTATTGAAGTTTCGCACTCGAATGAAGAAGTCGAACTTTATTATGGAGAAATAAATGTACAAAGTTCCGACATTTATTTGTCGATGCCGATTTTAATTCGACCTGGATTTCATTACGAAATAAGATTGAAAATGGATCCACCTGCACTTGCTTGTAATGGTCTTTTATTGAAATCCGAAATGCACATCGAAGGTAGAGCCACCATACAATTTCATGACGACCCGATCAAAAATAATAATCTAAGAGGTTTGGTTCATTCTTTTTTCTTCGATATGATTTGAAAACAGCATTTCAATGAACTTCAAAACCTTACATACGGTATTTTTTTGATTCATCTCTAAACAAAATTGTTATAAAGCGTTTATTTATCAAACACATTTTGATTTATAACTGTATGAAGACATTGCCACTAATAACGTCATGTTGAAAGAGCGTTAAAATTTCAATTTCAATGTAAGCGATTAGTATATTTGAAGTCATCCTTTTGAAGAATAGGAATCCAACAATTTATTTCATTTAAGTCGACATTTAAACCTTCGCAAATA